CATTTTTTGAGTACTGGACGTATGAAGCTGCTTTAGCAACGGTTTGATAGAGAAAATCTTCTAGTTTTGTATGACGTATCAACTTTTTGAATTTGATGGAAATGAAGCAAGCTATTGCTCCGGAAAGTGTAAAAAATCGGCTCGTCTCGAATTTTACTCGTTATTTGATCTAAATTTGTTATTTCGTATAACTTCCTGTAGTTTCAGTACTGATTAGAAAAAGCTCTTCACAAAACTCCCAAATCAGCTTTCAGATTGAAAGTTCGTTAACTTTGAAGAAAGTTACAATCATTTGAATATTTGTTCAAATTTCAATAGTAAATAAGCTGCTCCACGGTCAACGCCAAAGTCCAGTCAACACACAGCTGGCGAAGGCTTTCACAAGGCTTCCTTTGAGCGAAAGGGGGACGTGTAAATCGAGAACCATGCTCTGTGTAGTACTAGAATTTAGTAAGTCTTGTGGAGGAAGTAAACAAAGAAGAGGTGTTGTTATAGTACGCCATTTCTAGTGACTAGTTTGACGTTTTTTGCTCCGTTTCTCGTTTGCTCATTTGACAGGATTCGTCATTAATGTTCATTCTTTGACTTTTTCACTTTTATGCTTTTTTAACGAATTTTTTGTGTACGATGGGGTAGCAGGGGTTTTTTTATGAGCAGTTTTGGTGGGGAATTAAACAACTTTTTCATAGTTCGGCTTTTGTTTCATGGACTTCGGCCTCCAGCAGAGGGAGGGGGGGGGGGAATCGTATTTCCAAATTTTCCTCGACGCCTCGCTTGACCCTGGTGACGATACTAGTAATCCACAAAAACCTGAATAAGATTAATATAATAATCGTATAAATAAGCCTATAACCCGAACCATTCATATTTCAGGATATAGAAGTCACAGGAAGCGAGTTCAATCCCTGCAGAGGCTCGAACAGGGTCAACCGTCACGTTCGAACATTTTCGGGATTTTGCGGCCCCCTAGCTCTCGATGGGTCCAGTTGCGACCCCCTGTTTTTGTTGATAAGAGTGCTAGGGGAGACGGTCAATTCAATCGTCGGCTAATGAGGTCACGCCGCTAATGCGGCGAGAATCGTCGCGCGCGGCAGTTGGTGCGGCGGTAGCTGTGTGGACCTTTTCTTAGCCATCCATGTCCATAAGTTGGCTAGGTGACTGATAAGACTAGAGCGCTGGACATCAGTAAGCCAGCAAGCGTCACTGTAAGATCCCTGCAGTAATTTAAGCCTCACTGTACAAAGGTTTTACCGTGGAAATGTTGTCCTTTCGGATTTAATTTGACTTCTTTATTGATCAGCTCCCTGGATTTCATCAGGCAGTGATAATCTGGTCCAATCGGAAAGAATATTTCGTATCAAGACACAGAGGAACGGTGAGGAAGGCTCTAACATAAGCGTGATATAATAAGTATGTAATAATGGCGAGCGAAAACGAAACTGCATTTTAAAAGGTAAGGTAGTTCCCATTTCATGTTCCATGAAGAGAAACATCGACTACTCTTACTACTACTCTTTGACTCTACTCTTACATTCCCCAATGCTTGGATGTTGAGTTTTGCAAATTCTCCGCGATGTCGCTGGCTGCGGCGGCTGGCGCGGCGACCTGTTTACTGCCACGATTGAATCGTCACGCACCCGAGTACTAGACATGAATCCGTTGCGCCAGAAAGCGCCTGCGCCGCCGCTGCAGAAAGAGTCTGCGTAGCGGCGTCAGCCTTGGAGCGCGGCAGGTATCACCCGGGCGCTGGAAGAACGGGACGCGGAAAAATTTTTAGAGGGGAATAACTTTCTTGGGATGTACTTTTTTGACTTGTTGAGGTGGATCTATTGTGCCTGAGGTGCGCTTTCAGAAAAGTACAAGGATTGCCTAACTCTCCGGAAAGTACTTCTGTTAGAAGTGGAAAACCCAAAATTCTAAGAAGGCGCACCTTCAACTTTGAAGGCTTAGTGCGTGAGTGGCGATCACTAGAAAGCTCGCACCCTTCTCGGACCTCTGTGGGTTTTGATCTACGCGTTCAATACCCCCGTGGTGCGGCGAGGCGGGGGTCTCGGCCCTCATCTCAAAAATCGATGGCTGAAGGGAAGGCGCGGCGATCAGCAGGTACCGTCATTTTCGCGGGTTCTAGGGTATTGATCTACGTGATCAATCCTGGGGGTCCAACAAATACTATCATTTGACCCTTAAATTCAGATCTCACCTTGAGGGGTCCCCTTAAGCCATATGACCCGACCCTGGAGCGAAACACGTAGAAAAGCAACCCGCACGGTCCTTAAGCATAGGGTGCCTTCCAGCTCTCGGCTTTTGTAAAGGTTAGTGGGTTAGTTTATCGTTCATGGCTTTTATCCCTGAGTTTTTCTTCTTGTAATCTGAAATGGCGTTTGGATGAATTGTTTCAAGAATATGCTTCGATTTGCAGGCTCCGAAGAAGGCGAGTGCGCCGAAACGTAAGCCGAAATAAAGTTGTATATCTATCTCGGAAGTTCGAACACAAACAACTAATACTATAGATGACCATCTGTTGTCGAGTATTTGGTCAACGGCAAGCCCGCGCGCGCAAGAATCGCGAATAGTGGTCATCCATTATTAGTTCTCAACCGCTGCGAGAACAATTCAGTTGCAACGAAATAAAAAAGTAACAATTTGAGCTGAAAACGTCACGTGTTGGGGTTGGAAACCTCACGGAGACTCCTCACGCCGAAAGTGAAGAAATTTTGAGCAATGTGTGGTTTCGGCGGAATCCCCTCTGAAATAATAATGATATGCTTGCAGAAAACATGCGCAATGCTTATGCTCTGACTGGCTGAGTTCACCTTAGTGATCATGCACTGAGCAGTTCTAGAAGAATTTGTCGTTCACGAGCTAATTTATTTTTATTGCCAGTTGTTAAGCAACCATTATTGTTGCATTGCTTGACATGTTAGTCGTTGTCCCTCAGCGTTATCTTGTTGAGTGACATTCAACAACAGTGACTGAAGGTTGTCACGAAAGCTGTCAGCTGATTTCGTGGAAATGTACAAATGTGGCAAGCGTTATTTGGCTCCTATGAAAACCAATCAATTGCTTGCAAATGAGTTTCAAGAATCTGCACAACGGATGCCAGTCGTTAGAGTGAAGTGCAGTAGAGTAGTCCTATTTTGTAAGCGGCGATGATGAGACTATCTAGAGAGAGTTGTCAGGAAAAGAAATACTCATTCGAACAAAACATACCTAGAAACAGGGTCAGTCCTATGTTGCGACAAGTACCTACGGGGGGGGGGGAGGGAGGGGGCGTATCTGGTTGAGCTTGTAGGGGGGTCGTACTCGCTCGGAGGCCGGCAGTGGGATTCCTGGTGGACATGGATTCCAGCCGCGCAATCACATTTGAAACTGAAGCGTAGCTGGAGTATTGCCTGAGACAACATGGATAATATCCGGCACGTTACTTTATACAAGATAATTGATACTAGCGCATCTATGAACCCCCTCCTGAATGAGCTTTCAAATTAATCAGCGAATCAGAGGCGCGGCCGAGGCGTGGCGCGCACCAAGGCAGGGGATATAAGCGCAAGCGCATGCTCGAAGCTTCCTAACACATTCTATGTTCAACAAGAAAAGAAATTGTAACCCCTGGAGGTTACGGCCAGTGAAACGTTATAAAACAGCGTTTTAAAATAGCGTGAAGTATGCCCCTCCGAAAAAAGTCGCAACGGGACTAATTTTTGAACTGCTGACTTTTCAGGACTTTTCAGGAATGTTTGAGTACTTTAAAGTAAGCATGAATCCTGAAGTTTATCACACTGAGTTCAGCTTTCGAAATCGATGATTTTGAACAAAGTTATGATCGTTCAAAAGTTGAAAAGTCGCATTTACACACAAAAGTTTCAACGTATTAACTTTTTATTGTATTAGGTTTCGAAGAATATTTAGCTATAATTGGAGATAGGATAATTTATATTTTCCAAATCAAATAGCTCCGGCGCAAAAGATTGAATATGAAGGAAGTTATAGCCTAGAAGTAGGAAGGTAAAAATTGTAGTGCAATGTTAATCCTTGCTTAAGAACTTCATTTCAAATTGCTCGCGAAGAAATGAGCTTCACTTAGAAAAGCTGAGCTTCAGTGATTCGAGATCCACCTCCATCTTCCAAAGTACCTGAAATTTAACGAAGAAAAATTCCTCTACATTTCAATTCCCAGTTCGTCACCTCTTCCCGACGAGCAAACGTGCTCCATCGTCGGGGCGTGATTCAGCACATTCAAAACGCGATCATTACGCGCTTCGGTTCCTTTGCTACCTCTACTTTTTATATTATTGCACCTATTATTGCACCTATCGGTTTCTTGGGTCTCATGCGGTAAGGGGGCATGTGGTGCCTCAGTTTATATCGCGTGAAGGTGTCCACTTTTTGGCAGGGAAGGAAGCTCCGGCATGGGTGTAAAGTTTGAGCGAAATATCCACGCACCCTCGGGACCCCCTCCCCTTGCACACAAGTATTACACAGGTGAGGTCGTATCAAATCGCCCATGAAGGGGGGGGGTCGTAAAAAAATCCGAAAAAATCCAACAATAGGGTTGACCCTGCTTGGAAACACCCGTTTTCACCACCTCACCTTATTTGAAGAATGTGGTGTCATTGTATTATATTTTATTGTATTCTAGAAAATTCCACAGGTTTTAATGGATATTATTTTATTGCTATTTGTAGTAAATGGCGCTGCCTCAAAGGCAGTCTTGTGCCTAGGATGTGTTCTGCTCATGAAAGATTTTGAGGGGTTTTGATTCTCATCTTAAGGCATTCGAGGGCGTCTGGATAATGATTCAGTGCCTCTTTCTGTGTAACTGCAACTGCACAACTAGTAAGAAATCACGACTATGATGAATCTTGTACTTTCATCTTCTGGTATGCATCAGATGGACAGCAAATCAGCTGTCACTCTGCTGTCCAATGACTACACATACAACCACCAAACTGATAAAATCCCGTATAAAAGGGGTCATGTAGGAGCATTGTCACTTAATCATGAGGCTTGCCCTCCTAGCCCTCGTGGGTGTGGCCCTCGCGGTCCACCAAACACTTGACCTGCTTCCTCTGAAGCCACGCAAGGAGTACGTCTTCCGCTTTGAAGGAGATGTTCACTCCGGAATCCCGCTCCCAACCGACACCACCATCTCTCGCATACAGGCTATGGTACATGTCCAGATCCCTGACGACCACCACGCCATTCTCAAGCTGAGAGATGTTCGCTTTGCTACTGGAGAAGACGAACGCAGAGAACTCTTCAAACCGATCGATGACCTGAAAATGCGCACAATCTCAAGGGAGCACCTCGATCTCCTTGAGTTGCCAGTCCGTTTTGTCTACAAGAACGGCATGATTTCCGATGTAATCTTTGTCGACAAGGAGGAGACCTGGTCCGCCAACGTGAAGCGATCTGTCATCAACATGCTCCAGCTTAACCTCCACAAGATGGGACGAACTGACGAGCTTACAATGGACAGGTACGAGGTGGACCGTGACAACGAGTACTTCACTGTTACCGAGCGAACCATCGAAGGAGACTGTGAGGTTGCTTACACCGTTCTCAAGAAAAAGGACTTTGTCACTGAGGTCACTAAGACCGTTAACTTTGACAAGTGCACTCGTCGCCCAGAGGCAATGTATAACTTCCGCCATCTGACAGAGTGCCTCGAATGCAAGGAGAAGGACGTTTTCGAGCCCACCACTGTCTACACTTACCTGCTCGAAAAGGAGGGTCTCAAGAAAGTCGAGGTTCGCTCCATGTATACTGTCACCATCGAGAACCAGCCAATTATGAAGACTGAGATCCGCACCAGACTCATCCTGGAGGACGTCATGGAGATTAGGCGTGATTTTGAATGGATTGATGGCAAGAAGGAGACTCTGATCTATAACAACGAAGTTGAGAGGCACATTGAACGCTTCTACATGTATGGAGATGATGTTGAGGTCCTGCCTTATGAGCGGGTTAAGGACAAGATCGTGGTTATCCGCAATATCATTGACGAGATCAGGGAGCTCAAAGAAAACAAGCACGAGACTACCCACCTTCTTTCCCGCCTCGTTTCCATGTTCCGGATGTTGACCATGGAAGAGCTGAATACTGTCCACTCGGAGATCTACATGAACGTTGAAGAACGTCTCAAGATCCTGATTGAACACACGATGGCCATTGCTGGAACTAAAAACACAATTACCCATCTTCTTCGCCACATGGAGATGAGGCACTTCAAGGTTTACAGGATTGTGCACCTTCTCAAGTCCATTCAGGAAACTCCATATCCATCCCCGAAGATCGTTGATGAGCTTCTTCACTTCACAGAAACCGAGGTTGTCAAACGCTCGCCAGTCGTCCGTCAGACCATTTGGCTTACAATCGGATCTGTCATGAGAGGAGTTGTTGGAAAAACCATGGACAAGACTCTTCTGAAGGAAGACTACCATGAGTTGAAGCGCAGATATCTCAACATCATGATGAAGGAGTATGAGAAGGTTGACAGCATCTATGAGAAGGTACTTCTTCTAAAATCTCTCGCCAACGCCGGAATTGACCTCTCTGTCTATGAGCTCGAGAAGATCATTCTGAATAAGCGTGAGGAACTTCTCGTTCGCATGGAAGCCATCGATGCACTGCGTCTTCTAAAAGATCTGATGCCACGCAAGATCCAGTCCATTCTCATGCCAGTTTATAAGAGCCGTGTCGAGGAACCTGAGCTCAGGATGGCCGCTCTTGTCCGCATCATGCACACCCTACCTCGCCAGCCCATGATTACCCAGATCATTTCCACCATGGAGCGCGAGCCGAATCAGCAGGTTGCTGCCTTCACCTATGACCTGCTCCACTCTTTCGTCAAAACCACTCACCACTGCTACAAGAAGCTTGCCTCTGAGATCCTTCCGCTCCTGACCATGACCCGCTATCAGCGTGGCGAACGTGTCTTCACCAGCACTTACAAGTACTTGCCCATGTTCAAGGAGGAGATTATGACCGGCGTCAACATGGACTTTGCCACCATTTTCGGAAAGAACAGTGTCTGGCCCAAGGAGCTGATGGTCAAACTTGACACGGTGTTCTCAGGAATGTGGAACAAGTATCTGTTCCAGTTCGGAATCACTCAGCAGAACATTGAAAAGATCTTGGAAAAGCTGAGCTACAAACTAATGAAGATGGAAAAAACCACGCACACTGTGGTACGCGGACGCCGAATTCGTGAAACGTTGACTCTTCTGAAGGACATCGCCAAGAAGCTTGACATTCGTCCTCGTGTCATTGACGACAAGACTCCTCTTGTCATGCTTTACTTCCGCTACAAGGACATGGACTACGCTGTCCTCCCTATCGACGACAAGATCATTGACGACCTGCTCGAGAAGTTCATCCGAGACGGCAGGCTTGAGAAGAGGGAAATCGAGCGCTTCCTCAGCCGTGACCCCGAATTCCACCTTCACACCTTCACCTTCTTCTATGAGACCATTAGAAGGCTGCCAACAACCCTTGGTCTGCCCCTGATTATGAAGCACAAACTGCCAACTGTCATGTCTGCTGTGGGAGAATTCACCGTGGAAATGGTGCCGGTTGGATTCCGTGTCCGTCTTAACACCATGCCATCCGTTGTCGCCACCCATGTTGGAGAGATGAGATTGTGGAACCCGCTCTTCGAACAGGGAGTAAAACTCGTGCGCTCTGTTGAGACTCGCCTTCCCATTGATGTCGAGATTGAGATGAACTACAGGAACGGATTCGAAATCAAGAAGACATTCAATATTCCCACTGATGAGAAGACTCTGATTCACTATACTTCGCGACCAATGACCATCTTCCGATTCTTTAGCGGAGAGAAGATATTCAACACAGAGACCGAGCTGAAGACCATTGTTCTGCCCAAATGGAGACATCTGAATATGGAGAAAGAGTGGGTGTTCAACATCTGGGGAATGAAGACTGTTCTTCGTGGAAACTGGCTCCACACATGGAATGTGCGCGATATCCTCCTCGGAGAGTATGACTGGGAGTTTGTTCTGATTCCAACTCGCGAAGCACCAAAGAGAATTCTTTTCCACTTGAACAGCGGAAGACTTGAAGAGATTCGCCTTGACAGGATCGACTTCACTCACCTCTTCGAGAAAGAGTTTGAAGTTGAGACTAACGAGTATGAGAGATTCGAGGAGAGAGAACGTCGCGAATACTTCCACAAGAATGTGCGCGACATCGAGAGGAAGAACGGATACAGACATCGTCTGCTCATGAAGATCGAAACCGTTGATTCTCCAGTGCACCACTATGGAAATGTCGAATTGGTGACTGTTTGCGACGAGGAGTTCCGCTATTGCAAGCACACCGTAGACGGCAAACGCTCTCCCGTTTTTGATGAACGCCGTGAATGGAGGTTCGTGATGAACGTGCAATTCGTTCTACCGCAGATGCCGAGGTCTCTCATCGAGCTTAAAAAGCAGATCCACCGCGAAATCCAGGGGCTTGTTGAGATGAGGTGGGGAACTGAGGAGAGGAACGAGCTTAAGATGAAGTTCCAGATGGAGCAGAGCAAGGAGCAGAAGAAGTGGCTGAAACTGGTTGAGAAGAAACACGAGGGACTCACCGCCTACGACCTCCTTCTGAGAGCATCTCGCCTAAACCAGCTCAAGGTTGTTGTTGACTACGAACTCACCCCCTACATGAAAATCCTCTTTGAGCACATCTACAACTACATGAAGGGCTACACCTTCTGGAACAACAAGGTGACCAGATTGAACCGCGAGAACAAGAGAATGTTCTTTAAGCTTCATGTGGACCCAATTACCCGTAACCTGATAAACGTTATGCTTGAGATGCCATACGAGCGCTTCGAACTGGTTGATTTTGTTGTTCCTCAGCTGTATTTGCCCACGATTGCCAAGAGGACTCTTCGCGACATCCGCTACGAGGTGAGCGAGCCTGTATGTGAAGTGAAGAGCACCAAGGTCAAGACCTTCGATGACGTTATCTTCCGTGCCCCTCTTACCAACTGCTACTCGGTCATCGCGAAGGATTGCTCGGAAGAACCTCGTTTCGTTGTCATGGTCAAGAAGATCGACAGGCACACTGACATGAAGGCACGTCCAGACGTGCTTTGTAGCAAAGGACTTACTCTAATTACTTTGTTGCAGAAGCTGAAGATTATCAACGAGCGAGAGCAGGTCATCATGGTTGAAATGGTTGACGACAGACTCAGGGTCATGGTCGATAAGCAGATGGTCAACAGGGAGGAACTGGAAAAGTACAAGTAAGTGTGAAACCTCCTGGGCAATTCTGTGACAAATTATTTTAATATGTAGCGTCGAGCTGATCGAAGACAATATGGTCCGCGTGAGACTCGAGGATCTCATTGTGCACTTCGACGGCTACACTGTCAAGGTCTACATGGGCAAACACATGGCTGAGAGGCAGTGCGGTCTGTGCGGACACTTCGACGAGGAGGTATTTCCCGTTGGCTGTGAGACTTTGCCTGACATGAAACCATCGCATTTCAGAAGGACAATGAGTTCTTCACCCCAAAGAGGGAATACACCGACGATATTATGGAGTTCCACAAGTCGTACCTTCTGAATGATGAAGTTTGTAGTAAGCATATTGGCTGTAAGCGCTTTTCAAAAAACTTGTACATTTCAGTGCGAAGTCGAGAAGGACTTTCTCTATGAGAAAAAGCACTACAGGCTCGAGAATCGTGAGGAGCGTGTGGAAAAGGAAGACTTCTACGAAGATGACTACAGGCGCAAGGAGAAAGAGCGCACCTACAACTACAGAGGTGAAGAAGGTCAGCTGTGGGTAAAAAAAAACCCTGACAAGTTTCCGATACAGATTCATGCGATTTCAGAGATACTGGAGAAGACACACGTGATGGAGTTCCCACACCGTGTCTGCTTCTCGCTTGAGCCAGTTCGTGTGTGCCGCAAGAACGAAGAGATGGATGAGGTGATTGACAAGAAAGTTCGCTTCACCTGCCTTTCTCGCTCATCTCGTGAGGCTCGTGAGCTTCTTCACAAAGTCCGTAACAACGTTCTCGACTTGAAGCACTACCCCGTTTCGTTCGTGGAGACTATTCAGATTCCCCGCACTTGTACTGTCTATTGAAGATTATAATCCCAGTAGTTTCACACAATAAATGACTGTTCAAGGTTTGTTTGGAGTAATCTAGACTATTCACCACTCTTGAAGGCAGTTCCAAAGTCAACACATCGACGGCGGCGTGACACGCATGCGCGTCAGCTTTTGAAAAGGATGAGCCTCGTTTTGCTCGATGTGTTTGGTATATTTCAGGTTCCTAAGCCTTCCGTCTACATAATCGAATTTAGGAAATAGTAAATACATTCACCACCCTATCATAATGTCGGAGGAGTAACACACTAAAAAAATGTTTTAAAAATGCACAACAACAAAGAAACAGAACGGGAGACGTGCGTTTCCCCTCTTGAGGTCGCCGCCGCGCCGCCGCACGCGGCGATCGACGCGACGAAGGCTGTGGTGGTTGGATGTGGCGGTGTGGCGGGTGCGTAGCGTTTCTGCTCCTGGAGTCGATCGACGCGGCGATTGCACTCGCCGCGTGTGCGGCGATTTTGCGATGTGGTTTTTTACTCGTCCATGCTGTCCGCCGTTGCAGCCCCTTACATTTGATTGTCAAGTGACGAGGTGGCTAGTCCCAAGCACAGTAAGTCTTTCACTTTGATGTCCCCCATGGACATGAGCGCCAGAAATTAAGTTAGGAAATTAAGAAACCAGCTGCAGTCAGTCTTAATGAACGGACCATAGTAAACTGCGTGGTAACGTCACGTAGTATGGGCGCCATGTGTAAACATACCGCCATACTGCATGATCTACTCTCTTTCACGCCAATGGGGAAAGATGGCTCAGTCAAATTAAAAACAGGTCACTCAAACAGCGCCTAAGTTGCCCATTCGGCTGTAACGAATCGATAAAATTAACGAACTTCTACTCCAACAGCCAAAGGGTGGAAGAGGGCTAAAACCATATTGTTTCCACCGCTAATAAATCTCTATTGGCATTGCGAGTGCATGGAACACAACCTCTATAAATCGACTCCAATTACTTTGAATTGAGCAAACCACCTTCATTCCTTCAGTAAAACAGTAGTGGTACAACGGATAATAGCAGTCTATCAATGGACAGTCCGAAAATTGGGAAAATTCTAGCGATGTGCCGATCGACCCGCCACACCGGGGTGCGTAGCGTTCCTCCTCCTGAGGTCAGCTCATCGTCGCACACGGCGATTGCACTCGCCGCGTGTGCGGCGATTTTGCGATGCGGAGGTTTTTTACTCGTCTATGCTGTCCGCCGTTGCAGCCCCTTACACTTGATTGTCACTTGACATTTGATACAAGTTGTAATTCTATCTCATCCATAAATCACTTGCTTGAGACCCATCGTTAATGATAAGAACAAAAAGAACAAACAAGTTGTAATCGTTTTGGTGAGCAATTCGAAAAACCTTAAAGACTGCTACGACTTTTGACTTACTGTCTTAACATCTCGTTTTTCTACTGCATCCTATTCTATCGATCTTTTATTCCATTTTCCAAAATTGCACTCTTTAACCCGATTCTTCCAACGCGTCGCTTAATATGTGGTTGCCCAAAGGCGTACTTCTTTCCATGCCCCGCTTTGGCTATGCGCGAATTACCTTCAATTCTCCATAGAGGGTAGTTTTCGTAAGTATGTTTCTTTTCGGAAACTGAATCTCATGCGTAAAACTTTGCATACTGCCTCTAGTGATCACAGCAGACATATTCGTGCTGGGAAATAATGTAAGAATTTCCTGGGAAGCATTCCTCCAGGTCCGAAACTGTGGAGCGATGTGTTTTATCAGAACAATAGGATTGAAATGGCCCAAAACCGAAAATAAGGCCCCAATTTTTTGGCAGTTGATTAACCCTCGGCTACGAGTGGAAGCATACATGCGTACGTACCAACAGTAGTCAAAGGCCAATCCGAAGCTGATTCTTTTGAACTGGATGTTTTGATGAATTTTCGGGGCATACAATGGTTAGATCTTGGTGTAGGTCCGGCACAGCACAATGTTACGAGACTACTGATATGGTGTAGTGCCTCACAAGGGAGGTCGTTGAGGGTGTGGGGCGATGTGTTTTTTAAAACGATTTTTTGGGTGCTGTGGGGACTGTCACGTGGACCTTAATACTGTGTTTCATTTTCGCTGAGCGGCCTCTTAAAGGTCAAAGAATGGTCGAAAAAAATTGTTAGGGGTGGGTAGTTTTTACTTCCTTGGAGTGGCGCTTCAAACTTGTAGAAAAGATCACCTGCATAATGGAGGGTAATGATGAAGATGATATCGAAAATGTTGTAGACGTTGTTGTTGAAGGTCGAAGAACAAGAGGAGAAGAGAACATTTCTTGCAAGTCTAAGATAACACATCTAATTACGATAGATCAATAACACCCTGCAACAGGAAACGTGATTCGCTCGAAATTTAAGTACTGTCAGTGGTAGTGCTGGAGAAAGCGTGGACGTTCCATAGGCGTCGTCGGCATCCCATTTCCACTGGTGGCCAATTGGTTAGCGCGAGGGGCTTCGGTTTGCACGAGCTTGTGGTTCGGCTTCGCTCCATAATCATTCCTTGCAGTTTTGATTATCACCTCCAAATCGGCGTCAAATTGCGCCGGCGTCAAAACTAATGCGGTATTCCTGGTCAAGACCATCAGTAGCCCTTGCAAATGGGTTTTCTATCAAAAACTGGTTCGCAGCGGTTCCAGCGGTTCGCAGCGCCAAACTGGCGCCAACAACGAACGCCATATTCGTAATCAGGACCCTAATTTAGCCCCATATGCCAAATTCCAGGAAAAATCGAGGTTTTGACCTAACTTCAAAAAATTGTGACCATGGGTCGTCATGCACGCAGCGGGCGAGTTAAAGACGAGCGCGGCGCGGGGATCGAGCGGAATGCCTTGTTGGTTCACGGAAATCAAAGTTCGGTTCCGTAGGGAACATCTTCCATGCGTCGTAGTCCTTGAAATCGCTCCAGTTATCAAAATGGAGCCTTGCGAGTGCAAGATCCGCGGGGTATACTACGTCTTGATGGATGTAAGTATCCGCTGACCTTAAAATCATGGTGTTGTCCATTACCAACTTGGGTGTCTGCTATTGTCCATTCAGTAGAACTGTAAGCTCAATGGAATTTCTCATTATATGAGAAGGATAACGATGAACTCGTTTTCAGTTCACCGGCGCAGGTACCTATGGGCAACTGACCTATCGATGGCCAATTCTCGGATCTAAGTCAAAATCTCAATTTTCTCCAGAACTTCTAATTTAGAGAATATCGAGTGCCCTGATCACAACTATGATTAGTTTTTCGATAGCTTCAGTTTGCGCCCCTTAGGCGCCATTTGGCGTCTTTCTTGCGCTACAACTTTTTGCGCAAGATTTTGGTAAAATCTTGAGTGCAGTACTTACTCATAGTCTTGATGAAGAATACGAGAACTAATGGTGCTACCGCAATTTTAAGCCAATTTTGAAGCTCCAATTGAAGTGCAAAAATTTTGTCATCAAGAGGGACTGAGCCCTGAACCATTTCTTTACCATTTTTCACCTTCAGGAGACCGCTCGGCGTAAATGAAACATAGTTTTGTGGTCCCCGTGAGAGCCCCTACAGCATGCAAAAAACCGTTTTGAAAAAAAAACCGAAAAAACCCAAAACTGCTCCACACCCTGAACAACCTCCCTTGTTAGACGTTAGACTATGTCATTAATATCGTACACCATTAATGTCGTACACAAGGAGCCTCAATGGAAATGTTGTAGTGGTACATTCAACCATTTCCGGACAATAGGTTTAAATAGGCATATGTTAGCGATAAGTACACGATAGTAGCGGCATTTTCCTCCACGAGGTAGGAAAAAAGACTTTTTGCCTTGGTGGACATCAGCAGACTTTTCGTCGCACAGGATGCCAAAATAGAAGTTTGCGATAAAATGTTCCTAACCATAAGACGTCCCTGCATGAGCAAGAGCAAGCCGTTGTTCGTGGCCCCACCGTTGCTCGAATTTATACCGCCATCATCAACTAACACATGTGGCCTACCGTGATTACTCCAGCGTCAAGGAGCCACTAAATTTCTCCAATCGACTGGCAGGGCGGATAGTTTTCTGAAGAAGATATGTAGTTCTGCCTTACAAGACACTGCCGAAGAGCATTTGAGACAACGTTGCAACTGTTCCCGACAGTCGAGGGGCTCGTTGGGCTGTAACCTTGCACATTATACTTGTGGCTTTCTTCTAACGTCGCTGGAGAATTATGAGCTATATGAGGATAGATACAGTAGCGGTCAAAATTTTGGAAACTTTTTTGTTCTGGACATGGCGCAGCCATTAGACAACGAAATTGTCCCAAATTCAAGTATTACAGGGTGCGACAAAAGATCTGACAACGCTAAATATGCCCGTAAAAACGGTCAAACCGATCGATACATGATACAACTTTAACAGCATTTATCAACAACTATATAGATCACAAAAACAAAGTAGATCTCGAAATAGCCTCTTTTTGCGCGAATACAGGCTGAATACAGGCAAAGTCTCCTAGAAACCGCGTCGACGGCGGCACGGAGGTAGTCTTCGTTCAAATCCTCCAATGCTTTAACGAAGGTTGCACGTAGAGCATCCAAACTTCAATGTTGAATTTCGGCAGCAGGCTATCGTCTTAAGAACTGACTACACGGAGTAGTCCAATGGATTCAGGTCTGGACTGTTTTGAGGGCCAATCGTTCGACGAGGTGAAGTCTGGGAAATGCGTTGCGCATCAGTCCTGCACCTTAGACCTGTGTGCTGGAGCTGAGTCCCGTTGATAAGTCCATGTCCGGTTGCCGAAATGGGATGCCCAGGGGAGTACCTCCTTCTGCAACACGCCTAAGTAGATCTTGCTATCCATCTTGACTTTTTCCTCCAAGAAAATCAGGGGCATCTTGCCGTCCGATGTGATTGCCCCAAAAACCATCAACGACTTGGGGTGTCCAGATCGCTGAGCAATCTCTCCATGTTGGCTGACTTCTGCAGGGCTTCCCGCTATCATCATATCGTTTCGGGTGTTCAGGAATTGATCTGTT